AATGCGATTAAGTACAACAATACGTGGGAATTGAGCGATCTCTCAAAAGGAGTTCAACCTATTGGCTGAAACTTAGTTACTAACAAGTCGGCTACATGAACAGTAAAGAAACCAACAAAAGACAAGTGGGTCAGGGTTAAGAAGAAGTCAACCAAAAAAGACAAATTGGCCACTGAGATAGTAAAGAATCCAATTAAAAACAAATTGATTATCGAGAATGGAAAGAATAAGTCAACCACAAGGAAAGTAAAGTGATCGTGAAGAAAGCAAAAAATATAATGAAAAGAGTATGCAAGGTGTGAAATGATTTACTACATGTAGGAAGCCAAGATAAAAGAATCAAGATGATGAATAAAAGAAATATTTAAGTTTTCAGAAAGGATTTTTAGGTAAATTTAAATGAAAGTGATTGGGAAAATACAAAAAATAAGAATGCTTCTCAGTAAGAATTATGGAATTCATTAAATTGTAATTTGATAGTAATTGAGTAGCTGCCTTTAAGGTTGAAAGTTCATATAGTATTTTGGTAATTAATTGTATTTAGGACAAAAATAAAGGTCCCATAAATAGTACATGTACTATTCAAATTTTCATTCAATCATAATATCTGAGTGTATTTTCATCTAGACTTGTCAATAAAAATAATAACAGAAAGTGTGAAAGAAATTTGCATTCACAAAACATGACTGTTAAAATTGAAAATTCAATACATATATAATAAGGATGTGAAGCAAATGAGACTGAAATAACAGAATAGGAAAGGAAAACAGAGAAGTGTAGTTGTACTTGACTTGGAGACCCCAACTTTGGCTTCTTGCATGGTCCTCTTCATTATTGCTGCATTAGCCTAATAAGGTTTAAGTCTTATCATGACATGTGTTTAATTTGGACAGAAAGCTCACTTTTCAGTGTTGTCTTTTGGTTTTTTCTGCACACACCAGTAATAATTTGCTGCAGAAAACGACCTATGCAGTTCTCATATTTTATTTTAGTCCTATGGGATCTTCATGTCTTGTGCTTATGTGGAACTTTTCATGTTGGCCCCACCCATTCTCTCTTATCCATAATCACTCTTACTCATCCTCACCCTTTCGTTTTCTCTCACAATCAACGTCCTCTCTTTGCCATGTCCATTGTCACAACTCACAACAAATGCTAATACATTCACATTTTCTTGCCTTCAGTTTCCTCCATCACTGAAATAGTTGCACCAACGTACATTCTACTGCTAAAATTTTCTGACATCTCCACATGCAGTTATCATCTTTAGAATATGTTTAGATACAATTCATTTCAGTTAAAGGATTTGACCATGTAATACTCCATATTTTACACATTTTTGTATGAAAAGGGTTGTGGCTAATCGATATGTGATCTACACCTTTGACCCAGATGGTGGGAAAGGAAAAAGAAAAGCAAAGGCTAGTTTGCAATTATTGACAGAACTTTGAATTTCTTCTTTACAAAGAGATTGAACAGAGAATAGGGTTATCTCAGATTTATTTTCTTTTTCACACACAGCTACCAAACCTATATATAGCTGACCATTTACAGCTGGTTGAAGAGAGATTCAAATGAGCTCTAAGAACATGTGATTCCAAATTAAACAACTCTAATAATTTTACCTAATATTTATAGTCAATGAGATTAATGTTATTTGCATGATTCTGTCATATCTATATCCCTTAGGAACTAAGTATCATTGGAACCTAATTGTACCCATTATGTTATTATCTTAAAAAAACATCATTACATAAGAAGGACAACAATCATAAGAAAACATAGTTATCTTTTATCATAAGGTTCTTTTATCATAACAAAAGCAAATTGATTTAGTCACAGTGAGGGAGGATTGTGACACCTTGATTAGAAGAATGCAGATGCAGTAATCCAATCTGCAGACAGGTTTATTGAGGACTGTGCATTAATAACTATTTGCTTATATATATTTAGGAAAAATATTCTTTTTGACACCTAAATTATTTATATTTATTTGACTTGTTTATTTTTTATTTTCTTTTTTCTTTTTAAAAAAAACACAAAAGTTTACGCTGATGATCATTTTATCTTTGTATACTCTGTGTCAAATGAACGTGAAAACGTGTCATCTACCATTATTTGTCTATTTAGATATAGAAATTGGTTCTGTGTTGTTGAAACACTACCACAAATGAGTTAGTGGAATCATTCAAAATCAACATCATGCATGTACTTTGAACTGCCATTTGTTTTGGTGCGATGTAAAAAGTCTTCAGGAATGTGTATGTAGCAGTGTAGGGGAATGGGAAATTTGAACGTAAAAAGTCGTGAATTTTGATATCTTTCTGATTGGAATTAATTATCTGATTAGCTAGTTAGCATCTTCATTTCGTATTTGTCATATTTTTTATTTGTTTTTTCGTCCTTTTCATTTAGAGAAGATGTGAACAAAAGATTCATTAAATAAATATACAGTCTTAAAAAGTGTTGCGTTTCTATTCTAAAGATGTCTCTTAAAAAGTTTGTGGGACAGACAGAAGTATGATGATGTTGTTGAGAAGTGTGGATTCTTTCCTCAAGACTAACCAAAAGAAAGAAACAAAGTAGGGTTGAACCACATATAATTTTCTATATGTTGATTGCATCTTAGTCATATTTATTGCCAATTCATAATTAATAAATTAATTAGTTCTTCTTCGTCTCCACCTCTCCATCTTCTTCTCCTGATTAATGATATGTTTTTGACTCTGAAAAAGTTTATAATTGTGATGGTGCTTATTTTATGATGTTCATGATGAACATGTAAAAGAATGTCAGAAAGCAAGCATCACATTTTTATTTATTATTATTATTATTATGATTATTATTATATATATATATATATATTATAAAAAAATTAAAATATTAAATGTGTAGATGTGTTCTTACACTTAAAATAGAGGGAAGATAAACCAGGAAAGTTCCAATTCAAATATATCTTTTCTCTATTTTTTATTTATCACTTTTTTTGAGAAAAAAAAATTGTTGGTTAAGATTGTCATTTTTGTAATTAAGTTGATTTGACATGACTAAGGAACAACCAAGAACATGATAATGAATTAAGATACAGATATATGCAATTTTTTGTGGTTTTTCATTCTTTTTCACTTAATTCAAATAATCTTATTTTTTTTTATTATACTTTTTTCCCCACTCCCTAACAGGATTAGATATGCTACTAATTCAGTTTTTCATTTCATATTCGTCTGTATTATACATAAAAAAAATTGTTGTATATCCTTTTAAGTTTCTAACTACATAAATTTAATATTGTATGTTAAAGAAGAGATTAATGTATTGTGAAGAAAAAAAAACCTCAGTAATTTATAAATAACTAGTAATATGGCTTTTTTTAAAGATAAAAGGGAACCTAAAACGAAACATCTTTTAAATACCATTCTTTTATAAGTTATAAAAAGTTGAAAACTAATTAATCTTGAATTGAAATTTTCTTTTAAAATTTAATTTTATGAACTTTTTTTTGAACTTTTTTCTTCAATGGAAGCTTTTTTTAATATTTTTTTAATCATTGGATCTTAATATTTGTTTAAAAGAAGTTACATAGTTAATATAACCTTGTGTGTATTGTTTATATATTAAGAAATGTTTATTTTAAATTGCAATTAGAAGATACTTTATATGTTCAAAATATTTATTTGCTAAAATTTAGTTATGAAAAATCATTATATTATACATCGTACAAACTAAAATATTAGTTATTTTATAATGTATATCAGCAAAGTTATGTGCAAATTTAGAAAATTCAAATTTAATCAAATGAAAAGAAAATAGTTGTTGATGCTTAGTTATCGATTTTTCTATATTTTTATAATGAAAAAAAAAATCACTTGTTCCATTTTGCACATTTTATTCATTTTGATTGAAATGAATTGTCAGTAATCATTATTGTATTGTTGTGGTATTTTTAAAATTACAACACAGATACAAGAAAATATTATTTGGATATGCTCATATGTCAACTTATTTTTAAAATGTTTAACATGAGAAACCATTTTCAATTTTCCAAAAATCTAAATTTGGAAAAACATGTTTCTAATATTTAATTTATTTTTAAGAAAATAACAGTATCAAGAAACAATACTTCTTGTAGAATGATTTGCTCATGAGAGAAGTCAGAATCTAACTTTCCAAAGTTGAAATTAAAAATGTTATAAAAAAATATTATACCATATCAATTAATCTTGAAATAAATTAAACATGTTAATAAATTCAAAAAAACCTATTTTGAGTGAAGGGTGTGGGAGTGAAGTGAGTGAAGCCAGGCTAGCATCTTTGGCATGATTGATGTGGGTCCCACCCTCCCCCATTTCTGCTCTGTCAATCCACATGCATTTCCAAACTTATTCTCATTCGCTCACCCACCCTTGCATCCTACTCTTTCCACGTGTCATTCAGGGGAGCCACTTTTCCCTTTCAACATCCTCCTATTTCATCCCACGTGTCACTCCCAAATACAAAACCCTTGAATGTTATCACTCCCCATCCCACTAATCAGCCTCTCAGAAATCTTAATGTTAACAAACAAGAATAATAATGTTAACGTTGTTTTGTATCTTAGGCGTTCAGTGTTCGGTCTTCTGCTCACTCACTCATTTGCTAACACGTGCCAAAACAAAACACACTTCAAACAATTTACTTTGCCTGGTAAAACTCTGACATGTGAAAACACTCCCCCCACACATACACTGTTCCTTCTGCACTGCAGGCACAATCTATGAGGGCCGTTACGAACGATTTTGTCGGCGAGAGACGTTAATAATCATGTTCATTAACAGGGGTAATAGCCAATTATTACAATTAATTTACCTGTTTTTCTGCTTTGATTTCTTTTTTGTCTCCTTATTGTTATTCTCTCTCTTTCCACACCTTTTTTTTCTCTCACCATTATTATGTTTATTTTCTATATTTGAATTAAGATAATTAATTAGTATATGTATGGAAAGCAAAGGCTGTCATTAGAAAAAAAAATGAAATTGTTAGTAAATATCTGTATATACATCACCATGTTACATGTAGGAAAGGACTATTAATCTTCTCCTTTTCTGTGCGAAGATTAATGCTTATAATAATACTCACAAAACTGGAATAAAGCTGCTTCTGTTCCCCGTGGCTGCTTCTTCTTCCTCTTTTTTTCTTTCTCTCTCTTTTCTCTCTGCTTCTGCTGCAATTTCTTTCTCTTTTTTTTTTCTTTTGGTTACTTGTTTCTTGTCTTCCTTGGAGTCTGACCCTGTTGCCAGCTTTGACTCAAGAAGATGTTTGTAAGTACGTTTTCGTGGTTTATTTTGTTCTGGTTTTTTTTTTTGTTTTTGTTTTTGCTATGTTTGTGGTCTTTTCCTTTTGACTTTAGACCTTGTTTCAAATCTGGGGGTCATTGATAAGTAAGAGGGCATTCTCAAATTCCAATCTTTGGTTTGGTTTTAGATAAGTCAAAGTATGAGTGATGGGTAAATGTTGGGTCTTGTTCTGTTGTTTGGTCACGCATGTGGCAGATGATCCATGCCAATGATGGGGGATTCAGATGGATCAAATTTCATTCCATTTGATCTGATAAACTTGCATTCTTCTTTCAGATTGGAATTCTCTTTCAAGTTCTTAGTCATCTGATGGGTCTGTGTGTGTGTGTGAAGTGAATTGTTTGGTCAATGATGAGATTGTTCATTTGTTTCTATGCCAGTTGAATTGTGATTGGATTTGGATTTGGATTTCGGTGTGATTAATTATTGAAGTTGTAGGATATCTCCTGAGAATCAATGGGTTGCATTTTGCTTTTTGTACACTCTTTCAGGTGGCATTGCTCTTGCTTGTGGCATTGAGCAATGCCGTGAGAGTTAGCGGAGATGGTGGGCAATGTGGTTCCAACCCAACACTAGACCCAAGACCACACAGTGTCTCCATTTTGGAGTTTGGTGCGGTTGGAGATGGTAGAACACTCAACACCATTGCATTCCAGAACGCCATCTTTTATCTCAAGTCATTTGCCGATAAGGGTGGCGCTCAGCTCTATGTTCCTCCCGGTAAATGGCTCACCGGAAGCTTCAATCTTACCAGCCATCTCACCCTCTTTTTGGAAAAAGGTGCTGTCATTATTGGATCTCAGGTATTGCTTCTCTTTCCACTAACTTTTGATTGGTCCTGCCTTTTTCTGCTGATCCTTTGCGTGTAGTGATGGTTCATGTTCTGATGGGGGTGCGTTTGTATCTGGTTTCGGTTTTTACATGCTGTTATTACTTGTTTAGAATCCATCTCATCGGGATGTTGTTGAACCCTTGCCTTCGTATGGCCGAGGCCTTGAAGTTCCCGGGGGAAGATATCAGAGCTTGATAAATGGATACATGTTACATGATGTGGTTGTAACAGGTTTTGTCATCTCCCAATATTCTGTTTCTTTCCTGCAAGATTTCATTGGTTTGTTTCTCGATTGAATTTTCATGTCTTTGTGTGATTCATCAGGTAATAATGGAACCATTGATGGCATGGGAATGGTTTGGTGGGAGTGGTATAGCTCCCATTCCTTGAACCATAGCCGTCCTCATCTGGTTGAAATTGTGGCATCTGATAATGTGGTGGTTTCAAATCTTACATTCTTGAATGCCCCAGCTTATAGCATACACCCAGTCTATTGCAGGTATATTATATATGTTCTGTTCTGTTATTCTTCTAAACAGTAAATGAAATTATACTTATTTTTCAAGGGTCGTGTTGATTTAGTTGTATGTAATTTGATGCAGCCATGTACATATTCAAAATGTTTCAATCTCTGCTCCTCCAGAATCCCCTTATACTGTTGGTATAGTGCCAGGTTTGTAACAAACATGTTATCATTATCTTTGCTTTTGGTCCTTGTTGTGGAAATGACATTGCTTCTAAAATATGATTACCTTACCAAACTTTAGTTAGGGTGACTTTGGTAACCTTTGTGCAATACCTGTTTTCAGATTCTTCTGAATATGTGTGTATAGAAGATTGTATTGTTGGCATGGGATTTGATGCAATATCTCTTAAAAGTGGCTGGGATGAGTATGGCATTGCCTATGGCAGGCCAACTGAGAATGTGCACATCAGAAGGGTGCATCTTCATGCATTTTCTGGCTCTGCTCTTGCATTTGGAAGTGACATGTCTGGTGGCATTTCAAATGTTGTAGTGGAGCATGCTCATTTTATGAAATCAAACAGTGGCATTGAGTTTAGAACCACAAGAGGAAGAGGTGGTTATATGAAAGATATTGTTATATCAGACATAGAAATGGAAAATGTCCACACAGCAATTGCTGCCACTGGTAACTGTGGTTCTCATCCTGATGACAATTTTGATCCAAATGCACTCCCACTTTTGCATCACATCACATTGAGGGATGTCACAGGCACAAACATTAGCATTGCTGGAAACTTTGCTGGAATAGAGGAATCCCCTTTCACATACATATGCCTTTCCAACATAACCTTGTCAACAAATTCTGTTTCTCCCATGACATGGGAATGCTCAAATGTGTCTGGATTTTCAGACTCAGTGCTCCCAGAACCTTGTCCTGAACTTGGAAACCCCTCATATGATTCTTCTTCCTCCTGTTTCTACCTTGTGAGTATCAGTGGAAAAACTGCAGTGCAGTGATAATTCTTTCTCAATACAACAAGATTCTTATTCTTAAGTTCCCTTTTGCTTGATGTTGATGAAGAAGTGAATGGCCATTTTCCATCAAAGATCAGACCACATTCTTTCCAATAAGACGGTTGTGAGGATTATTCATTTTTTCATCTCTTAGATTTGCGTTCTTGCATGTTCCTATCAGCACATTATTTGTACAGCTTCATTTCTTCATTCATGTGTAAGGAAATTTTGGTAGTGCCAGCCACAGGAGGACTCAAAGTTTCATAGTTTTGCATTAGTGGATTTGGATGTAAAGCATGTAGTGGATTTGGTGATACTTCAATTAAACAAAGTTCAACTTTTTTTCATCGTTATCCAAGTCTTGATACTGATGCATGCCTGCAATCTATATATAATCATGTTTATTATAACAAGATTTTTGCAACCTTCCAATTCTCCACTTGATAGATTACGTTTTCATGCTTTAATCTGTCTCGATTCAATTGGAGCATTTCAGTGCTTATGTCAGTTTAGTTTGTAATGAAATTTGATGACAGTGACAGCATTATTTTCAAATCTGATAATCAACAGAAGTCACATCTCATCGAATAATGAAGTGGGTGGCTTCAGATTTTCTCAACTAGCATAAAAAAAATACATATATCTATACAAAATTAAGAATGAAATATTTTTACTAATAAAATAATTTACTGGAAAAATTAATAGTTACTCGTAATAACTTAATTAAATTTTATTTGCAAATATAATTTTATAATTAATTTAATAGAAATATATTAGTACATCAAATGATTTGGGATATAATTTAAAATTATTTAACCTGGAATATCATTATTCCAATTTATGTAATTTTAAAGTTTAAATTATTTTGAATTTCAGTAATGTTTCAACAACGTATTTCATGGTTTGGTTTGGATTAAGAGGTTTTATGATAACAATATTTGACCATTTCATATAGTATAAGCTGTTGAATCCAAAATTGGGTAAAATGGTGTTTGCGACAACTTATTTTCCCCGTTTTCAGTTATTTTATTGAAAAAGTTTCTAAAAAAATTATATAGAAAAATGAGATGTTATATATTAGTTTGTCATATAATGTTATTTAAGAAATTGTTTCCGCAAATTTCTTCATAATCATTTACAAACTAAAATTATTAGTTTGTGTACTTTTTTTAAAAAATAGAAAAGTTATATTAGAAACATTCCACAAATTAGCTTGTACTTTTGAAAATTTTAATTTAGTTTTTTTTATTTATTTCTCCTATAAATTATTATAGAGATGTATGTCCAACTATATCCTAATTTTGAAGGGAATTGAGCATGCCAACTTTTGTTTTCTACTTTCTCATCACTAGCCATGGTTGAAAAATATTTCATTTTTCTCGTAATGGACTTGGACAAATCATGAATGTAAAGGGTAATAAAATTTGAAGGTTGTACCTAAAGTAGTAAAGTCCACAAGCTTTATAACATTAGTCATGTGTGCAAAATGGTATCATTCTTGTTTTTGCTTGACCTATCCAAAATTCTAATTTATTTCAATGCTTTCTTCTTTTCTGTCTATATGCTAATGTTTTTCGTCTGTTTGGTAATTTGAGTTTCTTACTCCTCCAACTACTTTATTTAGATTCTATATTTATATGAATTGTAATGAATTTTTATTTATCACCAGTCTAGTTACTGTTTAATCACCTTCTAATTATAACCACCAGATTGATTTTAACATGTCTATTTAACCATCTGCGATAGGATATAAACAAAATCTTACCTTCGTCAGATAAAACAATAGATGAATATGAGTTTATATACACATAAAATATGAGTTAAATAGATGAATATGAGTTTATATACCCATAAAATATGAGTTTATTCATTGGATTTCCTAATTGGTTGAATATGTTACTTTGTTCTTGGATTTGGAAATCCTTGTGAACCACACAACTCCAAAACGCTTTTCCTTGCCATGGTTTAATCAACCTTCTGCAAGAAAAAAGTTCAATCATCTTTCTTATGGTGTTTGTTTGCTGCCTCTAAGGTGCAGATTCGCCAATTGCTTACTACTTAGTGCTCATGGGTTTTGGTTCAAATCGGTAGAATTTGGCTGGAACAGAAACTAAATACAGAAACATTTGGTAAGACAAATACAAAACATGAGAGAGGGGTTGAATTCTGTGATCTAAAAAAAATACAAATTTCTTATGGATAATTGCATTTGCCATTGATTTTCCAAGTACTAGGTAGAATTATTATCACTGAGTATGCCTTTTAAGTGTAAGGACTTACTTAGGAATTCAGTCAATACTTGGAAAACCTTCTATTATCAATACTAAATCATTCAAAAACTGAATAAATTGAATATCATTAACATAAACAGATGAAAATTTAGGCATAGACTTGTGGATTCTGAAGCAGGTAGGCTTCCACCACTTTACAGACTCCAAGAGAGCTTTCCCTTCCTTCCTTTATCTCTTCTTCTTTGACTTCAAAATCCCCTATGACATTGTATTTGCTTGTCATTTTACAGAGGCAACCACCATCACTTGTGGCCTCAAATTTGACCTCATAAGCTATGGACTCAAGCTTTTCCCCCAATGGTCCCCCTTCAATCATAGTGTATTTGCACTCTAATTTCTCCTTATCAACCTCATCAATCCTGTGTTTCACATATTTGAAGGGGCCAGCTGCACAAAAATCAAAACACAAGAAATTTTTCAGCTACTATACACACAGATATATTCATACAAATAGGTACAATATTACTTTGTAATCCATTACTTTCACTTTAGTTTGTTTAAGTGTTTTTGCTAACCTTCAGAAAAGTTAACCTGCTCAATGCTTCCAGCTTCCCCATCTCCTTGGACCACGTTGACCTCTTTTATGAACTGTGGTAAGAGCTTTGGAAGCAAAGTTCTTGAGTCAGTGATCAAGGCCTTGAACATGCGTGATGGAGCAACAGCGGAGGAATAATCATATGTAAAAGTTGTTCCTCCCATGGTCACAGAAAACTCAAGGTTGTGAAAGTTGGATCCCAAGGGAGAGCACTTTACAGGTCTTGTGGTTATATAGGAATGATCACTTTGATGGAAATTAATATGTTTATTGATGCAGCTTAGGGAAAATGGGCATTTATTTGACAGTTAAGAATGGCATTTTTTATTGGAAAACTTTCAAATCAATGAGTGAATGATTAATGAGTTTTGTATTTCATATTTCCAAATAATTGTATGAAACCTATACAATACACATGGGCGGCTATTGGCAGAATAAGACCTTTTTGCAAACATTATGGACATGAATTCCTGCAAGTGAAAATATTGCATTACCAACCTCATGAGTTTGAATCACAAGGTGTCATTCACCATTTTTGAACAATCAATATGCCTTGAGGCTATTAGTCAAAGAGCATTAGCTACTAGGACACAAACAAAATTCCACATAAAATACCTTAATTAGTAAGTGACTTTTTGAAGTGATACCAAAAACAAATCCATTTTTGAACAATCAATATGCCTTGAGGCTATTAGTCAAAGAGCATTAGCTACTAGGACACAAACAAAATTCCACATAAAATACCTTAATTAGTAAGTGACTTTTTGAAGTGATACCAAAAACAAATTCGTAAATATTTGATCCAGAACGGACAATATCTTATCATTACATAGAGAAAACAAAGAAAAACTGTGACAAACTTCTGATGGAAAAGAAAAATACACAACCGGGTGATTGGTTAATCTTTCATTAGCAGAAAAGAGAGTTTATCTTAGTGTATTGATTGTGGCACAAGGTGTTTCGTAGTTAATTATCAATAGAAAGAATAGTTCTTGGATCTTGATTCTTATTAGGAAGAAGGCTTGTCTTATTAGAAACAGGTAATGCACGAACAATTAACAGGGTAGCGATTCTACTTTAATATATAGAGACAGATTTTGCTTTAAAATATTTGACATTTGCTATGATATAATTATGTCTGTTGATTTTGTCTATGGGAATATTTAAGTAAACAGATAAATACAAAAATTCATAAGAAAATGATATGGTAAATCAACTTAAATGTTGTTGCAGCAAATTTTATTTTGTATCTGATGAAAAACTAAAATATAAGGATATTAGTTTTCACTTAAAAACTAAGTATTTTAATTATATATGTAGTTTTGGTGTTTTTCCTATGATTCATGATTAAAGAAATAGAGACAAGTTAAAACGGTATTAAGAGAGGAAACTATAATACTTTTTTATATTGATTTTTTAGTAAATGGTATAAAAAAAAATACTTGGCATGGATCAATGTTTTGGTACTGTTATTTATAATGTCCAAGTTCAGACCCCCTTTCATTTTCTGTCTTTATGCTTCGTTGCTTTCGAGGTTTGTTTCACCAAATGAAAAATATGAAAACAATTGTAAGATTAACCAGAAAAGGCATGAAGTTCTGTTTCTTGTAACAGGATAAAACATCAGTTATTAAAAATTTATAACACTGTCACACAGGTTTCTGAGAATATGAAACATCTAAAAGTATAATTTCTTGATAACTTCATTTCAAAATTCTGATTTATACGATAATAGTATATTCTTGCAGGAACAGAAGCCATGTGTTTAACCAAAATTTGTAGCTTTCATTTGCCAAGTCAAAGTCTGACTCGAGAGAACCAAATTATGGTGCACAATGAGCTAGAATATCACATTATTCCGTGGTGAATTTTGCATCTCTATCGTATGATAGGGGCCCAATTAAATAAAGTTATCCGTATGTCCCAATAAATTGATGGAACGTTGATAGGATAAGAAATTGAAGTTTCTGATTAAAACCCCTCATTGGTCTTCATAGTTATTACACTTAAACGATTTTGGCGTAACCAAGCAGCATTGGGAAGCATAAGGTTATAGGATTCATTGACCCTATGCATTTGGACAGTTCTTACAGGTCAATTTTTGTTTCGGAACTTTCATGAAAGGGATTTTTCATGTAAGTGTAATATTCTTCTGATGATAAAATTGTTTCATATTATATTTACTAATCAGTAATAAGCTTGCACGTCACAATCTGCTAAAGCAGTTTTAGCAGACATTGTTTTTTAATTTCCAAAAATGAACAATCACAGATCAGTTTCCTTTCAGATTCGAAAAAACTTCGAGACAAAGGCAATGGTCCAAGTTCCAGTAAGCCAAACTACTACGAAAACATCGTTTTCATGGCTTGTGGAAAGCTCGTGGCTCGATTACGTAAAATTTCTTGTGGTGTGATTTTTCATATAAACCTCTTATTTACCACTTTTATGACTGATACCATTAACATAGTCAATTTCTGGAAGCAATTAAAGGGAAAAATGAAAAAAAAGTGTACCAATTAACCATTGT